CTAAGTCTAGTAATCATCTGTCACCTTGAAAAGTTATCACAAGATGGACTATATTTCCCTTCACTTTTTTCACCCATTCCTCCCACCTCCCTCTCCTCTGGCAACCATCAGTTTCTATGAGTCTGTCTTTTTGTTTCTTTTGTTTTTAGATTCCACATATAAATGAAATCATATGGTATTTGTCTTTCTCTATCTGGCTTATTTCACTTAGCATAATAGCCTCTAGATCCATCCATGCTATTGCAAATGGCAACATTTTGTTCTTTTTATTGCAGAGTAATATTCCATTGTATTCTATCAATGAATACCTAAGTTGCTTCCATATCTTGGCTATTGTAAACAATGCTGCAATGAACATGGGAGTGCATATATCTTTTGAATTAGTGTTTTTGTTTTCTTTGGATAAACACCTAGAAGTGGAATTGCTGGGTCAAATGGTAGTTCTATTTGAGTTTTTTGAAGGAATCTACATACTGTTTTTCATAGTGGCTATAGCAATCTGCATTCCCACCAATAGTACAAGAGTTCTCTTTTCCCCACATCCTCACCAACACTTGTTAGTTCTTGACTTTTTGATAATAGCTATTCTGACTGGTACAAGGTGGCATCTCATTGTGGTTTTGACTTGCATTTCACTGATAATTAGTGCTGTTAAGCATCTTTTCATATGTCTATTTGCCATCTGTATATCTTCTTTAGAGAAATGGCTCTTCATGTCCTCTGCCCATTTGACCAGATTGTTTATTTTCTGGTTATTGGAATACATGAGTCCCTTATATATTTTGGTTACCAACCCCTTATCAGATATATCATTGGCAAATATATTCTCCCATTCAGTAGGTTGTGGGGTTATTTTCATTTTGTTGATGGTTTCCTTCACTGTGCAGAAGAATTTTAGTTTGATGTAGTCCCATTTGGTTTTGTTTGTGTTGCCCTTGCTTGAGGGGACATATCCAGAAAGATAATACTAAGATTGATATCAAAGAGTTTACTTCCTTTATTTTCTTATAGGAGTTTCATGGTTTCAGGTCATAAGTCTTTAAATCCATTGAGTTTATTATTGTAAATGGTGTAAGACAGTGATCCAGTTTCAATTTTTGCATGTATTTCTGGGCTCTCCGTTCTGTTCCATTGATCTATGTGTCTGTTTTTCCTTCCAGTACCATACTGATTTGATTATTATAGCTTTGTTATGTAGCTTTAAATCCAGGAGCATGATAGTTCCAACTTTCTTCTTTCTCAAGATTGCTTTGGCTAGTCATGGACATTTGTAGTTCCATATAAATTTTAACATTGTATTTTCTAGTTCTGAGAAGAAAGCCATTGGTATTTTTTAGGGATTTTATTGACTGTAGATTGCTTTGGGTAGTATGAATATTTAAATGATATTTATCTTTCCTATCCAGGAGCACAATATATCCATCCATTTATTTATGTCCTCTTCAAATTCTTTTTTTAAATATATTTTATTGATTTTTTACAGAGAGGAAGGGAGAGGGATAGAGAGTTAGAAACATCGATGAGAGAGAAACATCGATCAGCTGCCTCCTGCACACTCCCTACTGGGTATGTGCCCGCAACCAAGGTATATGCCCTTGACCGGAATCGAACCTGGGACCCTTCAGTCCACAGGCTGACGCTCTATCCACTGAGCCAAACCGGTTAAGGCTCAAATTCTTTCTTTAGTGACCTATCATTTTCAGAGTAAAGGCCTTTCACCTCCTTTGGTAAGTGTATTCCTAGGTACTTTATTCTTTTTGATGTGATTATAAATGTAGTCTGAATTTCTCCTTGTTATAAGTGAATAAAAATGTGACAGATTTCTGTATATTAATTTTGTATCCTGCTACTTTGCTGAATTCATTTATTCTTATAATTTTTTGTGCAGTTTTTAGGGTTTTCTATATATAGTATATGTCATCTACATAGAGTGGCAGTTTTATAGCTTCCTTTCCAATTTGAATGCCTCTTATTGCTTTTTCTTGTCGGAATGTATTGAATAAGAGTGATGGGAGTGGGCAACTTTTTCTTGTTCCTGACTTTAGAGGAAAAGCTTTCAGGTTTTCACCACTGAATACAATGTTAAGTGTGGGTTTCACATATTATGTTGAAGTAAGTTTCCTCTGTACCCACTTTGTTGAGAGTTTTCATTACAAATGAATGTTGAATTTTGCCAAATGTTTTTTCTGCATCTATTTAGATAATCATATGAAAATTTTCCCTGGTTTTGTTGATGTGGTGTATCACATTTATTGATTTGTGGATACTAAAACATCCTTGCATCTCTGGGATAAATCCTACCTGATCATGGCATATAATCTTTTTAGTGTATTGTTGAATTCGGTTTGCTCATATTTTGTTGGGAATTTTTGCATCTATGTTCATCAATCATATTGGGTTGTAATTTTCTCTTTTTTTGTAGTGTCTATATCTGATTTTGGTATCAGGATAATGCTGGCCTTATAGAATGAGTTTGGAAGCATTCCTGCCATTTTAATATTTTGGAATATTTTGAGAAGGATAGGTATTAATTCTTTAAATGATCGAATTCAACTCTGAAGCCATCTGATTCTGCACTTTTGTTTGTTGGGAGTTTTTGTTTTATTACTGCTTCAATTTTGTTGCTAGTAATCCATCTGTTTAGGTTCTCTGTTTCTGCCTGATCCCATCTTGGAAGGTTGCATTGATCAGCTGCCTTCTGTACTCCTCACACTGGGGATAGAGCCTGCAACCTGGGCATGTGCCCCCTGACTGGAATTGAACCCGGAACTCTTCAGTCCACAGGCTGATGCTCTATCCACTGAGCAACACTGGCCAATATGTTTAGAGCAGAGTCAGAGGAGCTGACTGAGGGTCAAATACATCATGTCTGTATTGATTATTTTTCTTTTATTTTTTTATAACAAGTTTATGGTGATTTTAAAAAAATAACATATTAATGTCTTAAAAAGACCGTGAGAGAATCGATAGACTAGCTCCATCATCTACTGGTTATGTTACCTTAGTCAACTTAATCTCACTAAGCTTCAGTTTCTTCATTTATAAAATGAGGGAAAGTATACTCACCTCAGAGAGCCAAAGTGCAAACCTATGTAAAGGGCTGTTTGGATTAGGGCTCTTTGGGGTGCAAGGAACAGAAACGTAGTCGAGCTAAATCAAAAGTCAGAAATGCAAGGGCAGGAAGTCAAGCATGTAAGAGCTCATTAAGCCTGGAGCTGCAAGAAAATTCTGGATGAGGCATGGACTTCTGATCTAGAGCTTTACCATTAACATGTCTCATCTACACTACATGTCTGCTTCTCTCTGCACATTTCCCCCATGCTCCTCACTCAACTCAGAATGTCAGCTTGCACTTCACCTGGTCCATAATGGCCACTTCTCATCAGTACCCTGGTCTACTGGACCTGTTGGCGCAACTCTCCACAACTAACTGGCAACTTCCCTCTGGAGCTCTTATTTCACAATCCCAAAACAGCAATCTGATTGGCCCACCTCATCCTTTCAAGTGGGTCATAAAACTCACCGGTTGTGGGGCTGGCCTTGGATCAGGTGCAATTGGCTGTACCCATAGTTAGGCCTAGCTTGACCATTCAGCAGAAGCTGTAAGAACAGATTATCCCAGAGCGGGTGTAAGGATGGCAGGCAAGAAGTGACATTTCTGGTGCGTGCATGTGGCAGAGGGATTGGCACATAGTAGGTGTTCAACAAATGGTCATAATTATTAACAGTAACATTATTCCACCTCTTACAGGCAGTCTTCTCAGAGCTCTCAAGCTTCCCAAACTTTCCCCTCAGAACAGAACATAGACTGCAGGAATCATCATCCAATTAAGAAATCAATGAAATTCCTTCATTCAAGACAGACTTCTAAGGCCTCATAATTATGAAGTATTATGCTGGGCACTGGCAAGAGAGATACACAAATGAATCAGGCCCTTATCCTGGCCTCAAGGATCTTCCAGGACAGTGCAAGAGAAAAGCGAACCTAAGGCATGAGATATTCAAAGATAGGGAGATCTGGGAGTTCAGAGAAGGGCAGGCTATTGTTTATCCATATGTATGCCTGTCTCCTGGATACCTCCCCTTAGATGTCCCAAAGGCACCTCCAACTAAACATATTTAAAACTGATCTCATCTGTCCCCTCCCAAACATGTTCCTCTTCTCTGATTCCTTGTCTCAGTGAGGCAAGTTCATCCACTCCAGTTGCCCAAGCTTGAAACCTGAGCTGCACCCGCTTACAATGTCAGCTGTTGCAGTTGCTAAAGTTGTCCCTGAACCTTTGGTGCGTGTTTGTCTTGCCCCAAAGGTCAGAACTAATAATAAACTTGAGCATTGCTGCAGGATGGAGACAGACAAGACCCGGAGTTCGCTAGGGTTGATTTCGGATTTGGCCTCTGGTGTCAATGGGTACCTTTCAGGAAAGCGGGTGGACAAGAGCCTAAAATATGTTCGTGCCATTCTCCCAGTAATTCTGCTCCTAAATCAATAGCCACCTGCCCTCACTCAGAAACAAGAAAATCTCTAAGCACAAAAGTATTCTTTGCAGGACTATTTTCTGATGGTCAAACACAAGGAAGTCGTCTTAATATCCAAAAAGAGGGAAGGGTTAAGTGAATCGTGGCACAGCTGTCTGATGGAACATTCTACAACCATTACTGAGGGATGACGGCTGTGGAGATTCTATAGCAACAGGGAAAAATTATTATGCTGTAACTAAGGATACAGGGTTATGTGTACATTCCAATTGCAACAACGTAAAAACTGTGTGGGCTCAGGATCTGCTGGTGGACATTTATGTCTTATCTATGAAAAAAAAAAAAACCTAAACTTTCTTTATGTAAACTATGACCATCTCTGAGCTTTTTTTTTTTTCTTGCTTTTTTTCATATTTTCCATCAATCAGTCAACCGTCTTAATGATGTGTCTTTTTTGTACCAGGCCCTACGTTAGGTGCTGGGGATTCAAAGGTGAATCACCCACGGTCCTTTTTCGCTTGTAGGCTAGGGCAAAAGAGGAAAGAGGTACAAAAATAAACGGTTTCAAAATTTACAGGCCAGACTGTGGGTCCACTTGAGGACGTGCAGGCACGGTCACCCCCTGGCGGCCACCTGACTACCTGCCCTGGGGTGGCGCTAACTACTTTCTAGGCAGCGACCTCCATTCTAGGGGGCCCAAGCCCAGGCTAAGTTCCCAGCTCGTCCTAAACTCCTCCCTCTCCCCTCTTCTGGGACTCTCCATCTCTTAGTAGGCGCTTCAGTCCGGAATGGGCCCAGATCTATCCCATATTCTACACTCACCCAAGCTCCTCCCTCCCCCAAAGCCTCGTTCCCGCTCCGATCTGCAAGATTATGTCATTCTCACTGGTTCGCATGCGCCCCCACCACTGGCCAATTGGAGCGCCTCTGCAACAAGTAGGGCGGGGCTTCGGGCTCCGGAGTTGTCTCTCTTCCCTTTTCCAATGTTGTAAAAAGTGGCAACACACTACTCGTAAGAGACAAATGGAGGCAAACTCGTGGTTCTGAGATGGCAAAACCCCAGAAAAGTTTCGAACCCCAAAGCTCCGCTTTTGTCCCACCTACTCCGGAGATAGACACCGCCCCTTTCTGACTCCGCCTCCCGCCTTGGAGCGTGGGAATTGAAGCCCCGCCCCGTGTGCGTCTTATTGGTCCACAGATACACAGCGTGCACGTACCCCGGGGCGGGGCCAGCGGAAGGCTGATGCAATCTAGCGGGGCAGGAGGGGCGCGTTGGATGAGACAGGACCTGCGATGGGAGAGGGATATTTCAGCCTGCTTAATAATGCTAGTCACAGTGAAACCCTAATATATTAGTAGAAGTTTGTGCCCTTTTGTAGACGGCTGGTTGACAGTGTATTAAAATTTTTAAATGCGTACTCGTATATCCTATTGACTCAGCCATCCCATTTCTGTACATACTAGTACACCCAGGACTCCTAGAACAGTGCATTAGAATCACCTAGGGGGCTTGTTAAAAATGTGGTTGTTGCCCTGGCCGGTTTAGCTCAGTGGATAGAGCGTCAGTCTGCAGACTCAAGGGTCCCAGGTTCAATTCCGGTTAAGGGCATGTACCTTGGTTGCGGGCACATCCCCAGTGGGGAGTGTGCAGGAGGCAGCTGATCGATGTTTCTCTCTCATCTCATCGATGTTTCTAACTCTCTATCCCTCTCCCTTCCTCTCTGTGAAAAATCAATAAAATATATTTTTTTAAAAATGTGGTTGTTGCAACCCACACAGAGTTTCTCATTCAGTAGGTTTGGAATGGGCCTGAGAGTTTGCATTTCTAACAAGTCTAGGGTAATGCTGATGCTAATTTGTTGGGGGAACGCACACTTCAAGAACCTTCGATCTCCAGTGATGGCGAACCTATGACACGCGTGTCAGAGGTGACACGCGAACTCATTTTTTTGGTTGATTTTTCTTTGTTAAATGGCATTTAAATATATAAAATAAATATCAAAAATATAAGTCTTCATTTTACTATGGTTGCAAATATCAAAAAATTTCTATATGTGACACACGCACCAGAGTTAAGTTAGGGTTTTTCAAAATGCTGACACGCCAAGCTCAAAAGGTTCGCCATCACTGATAGACAGTAAAAAAAAATGTGCGAGGAAGCATGTATGAACAAATATAAGCCTTGCTAGTCTGTTTGCAAGAATGAAAAATTTAAAATATCCCTAGGAGGGTGATTTTTATTACTTAAAAAATGGGCTATAACTCACCCTGGTTGGTTTGGCTCAGTGGTTAGAGCATTGGCCCTAGGACTGAAGGGTTGTGGATTTGATTCCTAGTCAAGGACACATACCTCCATTAGCAGGTTCCATGCCCAGGGTTGTAGGTTTGATCCTGGCCCTGGTCAGGAAGGCAATCAAATCCATTTGTCTCTCACCTCTAGTTTGTATCTCCTCCTCCACCTCCCCTTTCCCGCTCGACTTCTCTCTGAAAAAGGAATGGGGGAAGAAATCCTCCAGTGAGGACTTTTTTTTTTGTAATGCACTATGTATTTATAAACTGATGTGGAAAGATACTGATGATGGTAGTGATGATAATGATTATAGCTAATATTCATTAAGCACTTACACTGTCCCAGGCACTGTGCAAAGGATTTTATACTCATTTACTTCTGCAGCAACGCTCGCTGGTATGTACCATGTCTAATTAACCCTATATTTCCAGTCCAGAACAGGTTCTGGCACCAAAGATCTTGTCAGTAAATGTGTGTGGCCTCATATAATCAGACCCACCCCCAGTTTGATGGGTGAGACAACAATACAGGCAAAAGAAGGATCTAGGACAGTGATGGCGAACCTTTTGAGCTCGGCGTGTCAGCATTTTGAAAAACCCTAACTTAACTCTGATGCCGTGTCACATATAGAAATTTTTTGATATTTGCAACCATAGTAAAACAAAGACTTATCTTTTTGATATTTATTTTATATATTTAAGTGCCATTTAACAAAGAAAAATCAACCCAAAAAATGAGTTCGCGTGTCACCTCTGACACGCGTGTCATAGGTTTGCCGTCACTGATCTAGGACAAACATGTCAAACTCAAAGACTAACATGGGCCACAGAAATGAGGCATGCGGCCAGCAGGCTGCAAGTTTAACATACTTGCTCTAGGAGCTCAGAGGAATGTATCAGGCAGGATATCAGGAGGAGATAGAACCTGAAAGGTATGTAAGAGTTTGCCAAACGAGAGGAAAAGGTCATCTCAGACAAAATGCGTAAGTGGCGAAACATCCCATTCCAGACTTTAGAACTTCAAAGGCCAAAAAACATTTTAAAACATTGTGAGGTGACCGCAAATGCTGGCGAGAATGTGGAGTAACAGGAACTCTTAGTCATTACTTGTAGGAATGCAAATGGTACAGCCACTTTGATAGTTTAGCTATTTCTTACAAAACTGGAGATGAGTGGAGGGGCAAAGGGGGAGGAATGGAAGACATCTGTAATACTCTCAACAACAACAAATAAATTTTAAAAAACTAAACACCCCTGGCCGGTAGCTCAGTGGTTGGAGCATTAGCCCACGGACCAAAGGGTCACGGGTTCAATTTCTGGTCAAGGGCACCTACCTCAGTTGCAGGTTCCCCAGCCCTAGTAGGGGCGCATGCAGGAGGCAACCAATTGATCTCTCTCTCTCTCTCTCTCTCTCTCTTACCCTCCCTTTCACTCTCTCTAGAAACCAATGGAAAAAAATATCCTCAACTCGGGATTAAAAAAAACAACAACAAAAACTAAACATACTCTTACCATATGAGCCAGCAATCACATTCCTTGGTATTTACCCAAAGGAGCTGAAAACTCAATGTCACTGACAAAGAGTCTTTGCTCAACGAAACTTCAGCCAGGCTCCCTGAACTCCCTCTCCAACAAGGCCCATCCATGTAAGTCCTTGTAGAAACCAGTTTTAACAAGAATCCTGATGGGTCGCTTTAGTGTTAATTCCCTACCCTTAACATCTGACCAACTCCTTAGCCCCACTATCCCACAAGTGATAACAACACACGGGCCTGCCTTCAGTAAGAATCTTTTAGGTCAGTTCACCCAGGATCCTCCCAGACTTGATGTTTCCTCTTAGTAATTTTCTATGCACCCCCCGCCCCAACTTTCTACTTAGCTATATATAAATCCCCACTTGTTCTGGTTGTATTCAGAATTGAGCCCAGTCCTCTACTGGAGTCTCTCTTCCCATATTGCAATAACTTATTGAATAAAATCTATCTCCACTGCTTTAACTTCTGTCTGGCTCTGGTTCTCATTAACAGATTTTGTTGCCACAACTCGGATCTGGATCACAACCACCATCAGACCCTCAGGTGAGGCAACCAGGCCTCCCACCTCCCACCACATTTTGTCTCCAGTCTGCTTGCTCATTTGGGTATCCAGTGGTGAGTCTGACACCAACCAAAATCCAGTGTTCCAGATAAATGTCCACTGAAGCACAATGAGGATTTATTTTGACTCTTGAGATTCTGCATACACTCTAGAAGCCGGGTTTACAATCCCAGTCAAGCGGAGGCCAGTTAGAGTCCTAAGTCTCTGTCTGTAACAAGCTGGGTTAGGAAAGTACCTGTTTCTAAGTAGCTGGGTTAGAGTCTATTTGTAAGAGGCTAGTCTCTGTAAGCAACAGAGCCTCTGTTAGAATCTCCAGATTCTCTGTAAGTATAAAGCTGCCATTACTCAATAACATAGGAGTTTTTCTATCGTTGCCTATATGCTTCCCCATCAAGGCCCTAATACTGTCTATTCTTGTTCTCACTGGCAAAACTTCACTAAAAACTCTATTTTTTATTGATTTTTAGAGAGAGAGGATAGAAGAGAAACATCAACTTGTGGTTCTATTTATTTATGCATTCATTGAGTGGGGATTGAACCCACAACACTCTACACCAACTGAGCTACTCAGCCAGAGCTACTAAAAACACTCAAATATTTTATTGATTTTTTACAGAAAGGAAGGGAGAAGGGATAGAGAGTTAGAAACATCTTGAGAGAGAGAGAGAGAGAGAGAAAGAGAGAGAGAGAGAGAGAGAGAGAGAGAAACATTGATCAGCTGCCTCCTGCACACCCCCCACTGGAGATGTGCCCGCAACCAAGGTACATGCCCTTGACCGGAATTGAACCTGGGACCTTTCAGTCCACAGGCCAACGCTCTATCCACTGAGCCAAACTAGTTAGGGCCACCTACAGGGAGTGCTAGAGCAAAAAGGAACAAAAATCTCAGATGCACGATGGTCTGCTCTATTCTTTTGGTATGAAAAAGCCAAAAAGCTGCTAATAATTCAAACCTCATTCAAGCTATTGAGGTTCTTAAACAATGTCTTCAGAAAAATTCTTATGACCCAGTGAACCTCCTAACATTCTCCATAGCATCTTCATATTCTCCTCCAAGCTCTCTTTTATTTATTTATTTTTATTTTAGAGAGGAAGGGAGGGAGGGAGGGAGGGAGGGAAGGAGGGAAGGAGGGAAGGAAGAGA